TCATTGCACATGTGGATCATGGCAAAAGTACTTTGGCAGATAGGCTGCTGGAATTAACAGGTATTTTTATTTTATCTTATATATTTAATTGATGATAATTGACTAAAAACAGCTTTTACCATACTTCTAAAAATTTTGGTTTTAATTTTATGTGTATTGTCTCTTCTAAAAGTCTATAGAAACATTAATAAGTGTTTCTACTATAGGGGCAATAGATAAAACAAAAAATAATAAGCAAGTTCTTGATAAATTGCAAGTGGAGCAAGAAAGAGGAATCACGGTGAAAGCACAGACAGCATCTCTCTTCTATAATTGTGATGGAAAGCAGTACCTTTTAAATCTCATTGATACACCAGTAAGTTTAATATTAATTTTGTCTTTATTGTTAAAGTCATCTATGTTTTATAATACTTGCATTACTAGTTGCTTGTAATACGAGTTTAGCCAAATCTTTGTTCAGTTTTTGAACTGAACATTAAGTATGTAACTTTGCTTTTTTGTTTTCTCAATGTAAATTGTTTCATAAGAATGGATTAAAAAAAAACCTATTAACTTTTTATCAAGTGTAGTCAATAGATTTGCCATATGCGCCTTCCTAAAAAAATTACTGCTAACATATAGAGGCATCAATATTTTTTGTTTTTCAGGGCCATGTAGATTTTAGTTATGAAGTATCCAGGTCACTGTCTGCTTGCCAGGGTGTTTTACTTGTGGTTGATGCAAATGAGGTGTGTACTTTAATTTTATATTACATGATACACTATTTTGTTTCAAGAGGATTTCCTTAAAATGTGTTTAGGAAATTGAATTTTTGTATTTGGAAAAACTAAGATTTATTGCATTACTTAAACTAAAATCATATGCTTTGGTTATGCTAAAGCATTCTGTGAAACTGATTTGTCCATCTTCCAAACATTTTAAGCTGATCAGAGGAATTACTCGACATTGTTGAAGTATGTCATTTTATACATACATCCTACCAAAAAATTTAACTTCTAGAATTTCTTAATCTTAGGCTTCAGTATCAGTTTTCAGCCGAACTTGAACATAAATCTTTATTTTTGAGGTAATTTTGGTTAATTTTTAAGATGATAATTTGGAAAGTGTTAGATTTAAAGAAACATTTCAATAAATTACCAAGTTTTTTGCGGTATAAACATAACCATAAAAACATACTCAGATTATGATATGAGATCTATGATATATTATTTTAAAAAGCTTTTGATATATTTCAGTGTCTCACAAACTTCATTCAAAAGCCAAAGATATTTTTTGGGTTTTGAATGAAGTTT